GACATCACGTTGAGTGAACATTCAAATTCAAACATCTCACACTCTTTGGGTTACACCTGCTTTGAGGCTGCTATATATTTTTATTGAAATAGATATAAAACAAAGCGCTACAGGGACAATGAACAGAATGGATTAAGTGACAAATTAACCATTCAGTTTTTCAGTTTCACACATCCACACACCCAAAACCAGCACACAAGTATTACATACCCTGTTCTTTCTCAGTCTCTGGAAGACAGGCTTCCAGGTTGCTTGATGTCAGATAAACAATCAGCCAAAGAACAAGCCAAACTAATGCCAAAGCACAGTGCCGGACATCTACACCGGCTGCTTCCTCCCAGTGACTTTCTTCTTTAAATGTGCGCTGAAGTTCTCTGAGTTTGATTTATGACTCTAGAAATCATCGGTAATGATGAACACAGACCACCACAGAAATTTGATTTGCTGAAAATCAGAGCTGCGATAGGCAGCTAGGCAGAGCCCAAGCCTTCCTGTTCTGCACTGGGGCAACGGACCTACACATTGTGCACGTTCAATCTCAAAGTGTTTTCTTCCATTTTCCAGGTTGAACAACATGTTTTGTGGGGATGGTGTGAAACAGTGTGCAGTGTGACGTGTATATAATCCCTGCTGTATTAAAAAGGCAGCACACAATGGATTCTGATAAAGTCCTCTACAAATGCGGCCGCTGCAGCTTGGCATATGAAGCTATCGAATACATTAGAAGATCAGTGCTTTGAAGCATTAAATGCATATTTAAACATTTCTTCAGGCTCTGAAAACTTTTCAAAAAGGACACTGAGAATGTCCCTCTCAGCTGCAACACAACACAGTGTTCAACACACCAATATTTCTGTTTAAATAAATGTTTTGCTACATTTTGTCTGGGCTGAATGCAACCCTTGGGTTTTTGGTTGTGCTTGAGTTGTTTGTGAGTGAAAATAAAATTACATTTGAGGAGCCATTTGAAGTGGTTCGGGCGTCTGATCAGGATGCCCCCGGTCGCCGCCCGGTGGGGGTTTACCAGGCACAGCCAACTGGGTTGAGACCCTGAGGTCCTCCTAGGACCCGCTGGTGGGATTATATTTCCAAGTTGGCCTGGGAGCAGCTTGGGGTCCCCAGAACGAGCTGGAGGAAGTTGCAGGGGGATAGGGTTGTCTGGGATTCGTCTGGGATTCTCGGCTGCTACCGCGACCCTATCTGGCAGTTAAAGATGATGAATGAATAAAATGAAATGTCTGCCACCACAAACCCTGCCTTGATCACTCTTCCTTGCCCTGGAGTGCCACATGACATGCCCGCTAAGAGTGCATTGTTTTAGATTATGTAAATTTCCTTTCCCAAATTTTTGCTGAACGCAATTTCTCCTTTTCTCTGTCACTTTCTGCACATTGTTTTTCATTGAAAATACAATATCATTCACTGCTATTAAAGGAAACACATGCACACGTCTTGGTGCTTTATTGACACTCTGGGCTCCACAAGCTCACCAGCAAATCAAATTCTCTGTTTCTATATCTGTGTCTGTGTCTTTGTGATGATCCAGCTCAGAAATCCAGTTCAAACACTTCCTGAATCTGTAGAGTCGCCCTTTCCATTCCATCTTATCACGAGATCATACGAGACTCACATCCGGAGTTATGAGCCTATGAAGAGGGGCTGAGATACACGTCATCTGCCTCTCACCCTGTGGAACTGGTGGATTCGTGTGTCCGTCTACATTCTGTGTGAAACTGACCAATGGACACTCAGGAAATCACTAAGGACTGACCATCACGCCGGAAACCCTTCATTCTTCATTCAGTCCACATCGGAGACTCATGTGAAACGGCCTGCAGAGAGTTTACAGCTGCTGAAGCTGCTGCAGCGGTTTTGGAAAGTAGTGATGAAGATAACGGAGCATTTTGATATGAAACATATGAGGATCATGATATATGAAGAGCCTTTAAAGGAGAGTTTAAGAAGAGAATGGCATCAGACACCAGAGGGATAATGAGCTGTAGTTGGCCTCAGCTACACTATACACAAAGAAAGTTTGCTAACAATTCGCTCTAAGCCTAAGATATGCTCTGTTCTCTTCTGCCACTTCCACCTGTAGATGGGCCAGTGCTTCCTGTTCTACAGGGATAAACACAGCGAACATCCTAGCCCTGCCATACAGAATAAGAGTCCTTAGCAGAACAACCCCCTGAAGAAATGTTGAAGAACACTTCACCCAAAATTGACATGCAAAAGCATTTCTTGAATACACTACAACATTATTACTTTTATTGGAAGAGAATCCCAGGTTTGAGAGAGAGGCTTTTTATTTTCACTTTTTATTTTCTAGTTTGTTTATGACTGTCAGTACAAAGATGAGAGGAGGGGAGGGAGGGGTAACAGGCATCAGGTGGAGTGATCAGGGTGAATGAGCCACAGGAGAGTAGAGAAAGCAAAAACCAGGTGTGAACATGAGCAGGTAGTCAAGATATGTTTACTGTAATTCTCAGAGAGTGCAAGCGGTAGAACCTGCCCTCTGATCTCAAGGGAATTTCTTATGAGCACAACATGGCACTGAAATTTCACTCTTAGGAATTCCTTTGTGGTGACAGACTTGCCTGCCCTGCCTTCCAGTGTCAAAGCTACAAGTTAATAGACATAAAAAATAGTCCAAACTAGTTAAGGAGGTGAACAAATACTGTATACTGTATGTTGCTGCTCTGGTTGCTGCTTCAGTGACTGCTATGCTCATATATGCTAGGCTCTCTGCTAAGCTGCTAATATATCATAGTGTGTTCCATCCTCCTCTGCACAGCTCCACATCCTCTCAGCACTGTGTGCTGCCTGTGTTCTGTTCTGTATTTACTGTAAGTCTTCTGTATTTATTTACTGTACTGTATTTTCTGCACTGTGTTCCTGTGGGAATGTTGTTTTGTTTCACTGTGTACTTGTATACAGCTGGAATGACAGTAAAGCCTGACTTGACTTGACTTGAACTATTATTCATTATTAGTACATACGACTGCTGGAAGGTAATAAAACTACATTCTGAAAAGATGGTTCTTCAAGGGTTCTTCGGTAAAGACAATGGTTCTATATACAACCATGAATACTCAAAAAGTTTCTTTGCATGGTGAAATGGTCCTTCAGATTGATGGAAAATGTGTTGTATATGATTCCACACAGCACCAAAAAAGGGTTTTCAGAAAGGTTCTATAGAATCATATACAATACAACACATTCTCCATCAATCTGAAGAAGCACTTCACCATGCAAAAAACCATTTTGATTATTTATGGTTCTATGTAGAACCATTATCTTTCCTAAATAACCCTTGAAGAACCATCTTTTTAAAGAATGTACCACAAAATGACCTGAGCAGAGTTGAGCTGGACTTTAAAACTCAACGGAACAGCATGTCCACCCTCATAGTCCTTTTCCCTTCCCCAGTTTCCTCTGCATGGTTCTTCCAGCTGCTTTTATGGCCACGAGTCCCTCCTTCCTGAACATTGACTAAGGTTCCCAATTGGAGTTAAGTGTGGCATCCAGGAAACCTATAGGAGACAGGAGACACCAAAGCCAACAGCACGGAGGCACAAACAAAAAGCGCACATACCCTGTCATTAAAGAGTTTAGCATTTTGTTAATGTGTTATCAGTTCAGAGAAGGAAGAAAGGACTAAATAAGAGGGGAAAACCCAGTAGATTGGACAAATCTAACCTAACCAGCTCACAACTGTGACAAATAACAACAGAGCTACCCGACTACACCAGGACAGGGCGGAGCTCCATCTGTTCTGAGAAACTGAAACTTAGCAGCATAAAAGGCACAGAACTTTCATTTTCACCTAGATCAGCGCAGCTGCTGTGTGTATGCACCATCTTTTGAGTTCAGTTTTCGGGATTGAAGTAAGTGAAACAAAATAATTCAAACAATTTTATCTTCAAATACTGTTTGACATTTAAAATCGTTTTTTATTAATTGTACTGCTTATTAATTTGACACTGAGTGATCTACCATCTGTACAACACTGTAAGATTAGACTGACTGTACAAAATAACAGAGCATGTAATGTCCACATACTATAGGTCCTAAATAAACATATGACAGTGCTAATATTACTTAGATATAAAAGAAAACATCAAAGCTAAATCACCTAGTTTTGGAAACAAGGATAACTTTGTTGTGCTGTAATGGCATTTTCACCACCATGTTTTAGGAAAAACAAAGTATTACAGTGATACGAAAACAGTTATCATTTATAAAGTTCATGTGAAGGTACTACTTTTTACATAGTTACAGGCCCTCTAATTAGCAATTCACTCATTATGTGTTTATTTATTATTGATAGTTGTTATGTAATTGTTACATATACAGTATTTCATTCATTAACCCTTTTTCGAGTGGCATACCAGTAATTACTAATTACATTGAATGTAGATCCATAATCAGCAGCATTTGTAGCGTTTTAGCTCACTGAAAATGTTGGAAGTTGATAGTGATGATGAAAACACCAGTGAACTGAAAGCAGTTTATTCACTAGTTTTGACTGTATTAAACAGATGAGCACAGGTGATAGAGTTTGGATGTGTAACTGTGATGGTATTTAAATTAGCATCAATGTGATGACAGGATATATAATAAACTGACAGAGAATATTGTTCTCATTAATAAAAAGAGTGTTTTTTTTTCTTGGTCAGAGTGATGGTACTTTTATAAAATGGAAACCATCTCCTACCAAGCTGGTATAATATAAATGTATTTTTTGGTTGCTGGCTCTTGTGCTAGCTTGCTATAGCTGTAGACTGTGACTGTACAGTATTTCTATATTCATTGAGACTACTGTAGTAACACCAGTGGACACTAGCTGAAATTAATGTTTACCTGGTAAATGTACACAGTTCAGCGCAGACTTATCTATAAAGATAAAGCCATTCAAAGGTCATGTGACAATGTTCAAAGATATAATATACATTTTCCTCCTTCAGCTTGTCAGCCACAACATTTGGCAGCCAAATCCTTGGCATTTGTTCACGTTACATCATTGACCTAAAAATACTCTCATTTGTAATGTATTATTCTTATAATTAATCTTATTAACTGCCATAACTCACCCAAACATAATAGTCTAAGCAATGAGCCACATAATTTGAATGTAATAAAATAGGAAAGAAAGATCAAATGCAAGAAACACTGTAGAAAAAAAAAGAAGTTGGAGTTTAGCGACCTCTAGCGCCCTCAGGATGCAGTGTAATAAGCTAAAACGTAATTTTAAGTTAAGCTGACTTTGTTTTTTTGCATTTATAAGAGTTTCCCTTCTCAAAGGAAAAAAACTATACCTTAATCAAATTGTCTTAGGCACCACACCATAGGCACTAATGCAGCCCCAGACCATCAGAGATGCAGGCTTTTGAACTGTGTGCTGATAACAAGCTGGACGGTCCGTCTCCTCTTGAGTCTTGGTTTCCAAAAAGTATTTCAAATTTTGATTCATCTGACCACACAACAGCTTTCCATTTTGCCTCAGTCCATCTTAAATGAGCTTTGGCCCAGAGAAGACGGCAGCGTTTCTGGATCGTGTTGACATATGGCTTCTTCTTTTCATGATACAGCTTTAGCTTGCGTTTGTGGATTGTAGAGTGAACTGTGTTCACAGACAGTGATTTCTGGAAGTGTTCCTGAGTCCATGCAGTGATTTCCAGTACAGAATCAGGCCTGTTTTTAATGCAGAGGCGCCTGAGGGCCCAAAGATCATGAGCATCCAATACTGACCGTCGGCCTTGTCCCTTGCATACAGGGATTTCTCCAGATTCTCTGGATCTTTTGATGATATTCCGTACTGTAGATGGTGGAATTTCCAAAGACTTCACAATTTTACTTTTTTCCACAATTGTAGACGCAGTTTTTCTCAGATTGGTGAACCTCTGCCCGTCGCTACTTCTGAGAGACTCTGCCTCTCTAAAATGCTCTTTTTATACTCAGTCATGTGAGATAGTTACAAATTACTCCTCCAGCTGTTTTTATTAGTACCACTTACTTTTCCAGCCTTTTGCTGCCCCATCCCAACTTTTCTGAGATGTGTTGCTGCCATCAAGTTCTAAATGAGTTAATGTTTTTCATGAAGTGGTAAATTGTCTCACTTTCAACATCTGATATGTGAAACATAAAATAAAAATAACTTTTTTAAAATTTTTTTTAATATTTCCCTTTTTATCTGTTTCAACCTATCAAACCTCAGAAAAACTAGATATCATGATGCATATCAGGTATTGTGAAAGTGTCTTTATGTATCACATTACTGTATTTTATAGCCATATTGCCCACCTGTTTGCTCAGACAGAAATCCAGGTGGCTGATTTAGTTTGGAGAGTCTCAGAGGGCAGCAGTGACCAAATTCCTTAAAGCTTCAGGATTAGCGAGAGATTATTTTAGATATTGTGGGTTAAAGTGCTGTGTTCTCACATGGTGAAGGAGGACTCAATGTCTTCTACTCAAGATCTTTTCTCCTCTGATAATTATATGCTAACTTGTTGAGGTTTCACTGGAGGCCATTACTGCTCATTTTTTAAACATTTTTCAAATCATCAATGCAAGTTAATCTCCTAAACAAACCTGCTGACTGTAAAATGCTTTATGTAAAATTATATTTTAAATTGTAAAATTACTTTGTCATAAAAAAAGCTTTAAAAGAACATTTAAAATAAGCCAGTGTGGCTGCTTTTTCCATCATACATTCACTTGTAATCTAATTCATCTCTTGAGCTGAGTTTTGTCATGTTTGTCATGTCTATGTTTTGTGTGTTCTGTATGTTTTTGGTCTCAGACTGTAGGAGGAGTGTTATTGTGAGATCAGGATGGAAAAGCAGAAAATATTCAACTTACTTCAAAAACACAGACTGGAAAAGTACTACAACAAATTCCTTGAGCTGGGAATTGAAACTGAAGTGGATTTCTTGGACAGCATCACTGAGAAGAACCAGGATGACATGGGTATGAATGGGATATATAGCAGAGAAGTTGTCAAATGCTGTGGATTATCTCTATGATCTTCAGAATGGGAATCAAATCTTTTACAGAGTGGCAATGAGGATAACCTGGAATGTTTTTGTCTTGTTTTTCCAAAAAGGGTTCAGTCCAGCTGAGAAAAACAGGTTCCATAATTTGACAGAGTTCATTAAAAGACTTGGCACAGCACCCAGGTTTCCAGTGAAGAGCGTACCAGCTGTATTACACATTCCTGGGATGTCCAGAGCAGAAGGAAATCACAGGTGAATGTAAAACAGATCAGGTTTAACAGGAAACAGTGAAGTACTTTCATTAAGTAGACTTAATGAAAAAAAAGTGAATTAATAGTATCAGGCTGCTTTTATCAGAAGCTATAATATAACCATATAACAGGAATGGACCCTGACCAGAACACTGTGGAGGACCTCATGCTGAGGATTTGCCATCAGGAGACCTTTGGTGCTACGATGTCTGTGTGTTTATTCACTGCTGAAGGAGTTCCGCTGACCGACGATCCATATTTCAACACATGTGAGTGATTATTACTGTCTGTTCAAAAGGAACTTGACGTATGATCCTTTTCAACAGCCATGATATCCCCTCAGTGTTCATACAGTTGGACAGCTTTCTTAAACATGAATGAGAGAATAACTTCAACAAACGTCCACAGCTCAGATATTTATGATTATATGCACAGGGAAGAGCATCAAATCATAGTGAAAATAAGTGGACTAATACAAAGGCTCCAAAATGACTTTAAATACATTCTTGTTTCATTACCTTACGTTGAAAGTCAAGAATGTTTTGTCTCCTCCTGTAAAGTAATTTGAAGATACAAGTGTTTCTTTGGACAGCGGTGATATGTTTATTCAGAGCTGAGTTAAAGAACATGGCTAATCTTCATAAAGAACACTACAGATTGTTTTTTTTACAAAAACTTTCATCTCATTTATTTTATACTATTCGCTATTTGCACTGTGCATGCAGTCCTGCTTGTCAGATGCTGCCAGTATCATCATACATATCCTGTTAAGGAAGTTTATTTCCTATGAGTTCTGCAGTCGGTTGAACCAGCTGAACATAAGTTGATTGGACTTAAAAGATCATAAGTCCAGCCTAAACCTCAAGTTGAGAGTAGTTAGTTTAACATTAGCGACACACAGGATTTCAGTTGCACCACACTTCTGGTACATCTTAACTAGTAGAGTGTAAAGTGGCCGTACAGCACTCTGCAGCCAATCAGTAACGACACCCGACATAAACAGGAAACATTGCATGCGTGATCTACACCCACAGCAAATCACTCACGTTTCTCTCTTTTCGTGCCGAATTTACTTCGCTTGCTTTGTCAGTCGTATTAGCTGTAATTCAAAAAGACACTGTTTTACAGTAAAGTGGTGTCAAAGCGTCCGTCTCTTGTATGTGTTTATTCTGTTCTGATGTTCAAACTGTGCTCTGTTGCACAGTATTTTAATGCTACTTTACTGTCTTATTCTATCACTGTCTTATTCTGCTGAATAACAGAAAGGTAACGTTAGCTTTGATAGCTATATTTTAATAATAATCTGTAATGTGTATTGTATGATAATAATCTCACACAGCCTGAGCTCTGGCAGAGCTGCTCTTGTTGCTCTGAACACAGTTGACTTGTGTGCTTGAACAGAGTCACCCACCATGTTTAGAAATGACCCTGTAGAAAAAACATCTCAGTGCTGGACATAAAGTAGGGCTCTGTTCCAGTCTGTGTTGGTTTCAATCTCCGGTCGACAAAAATTGGTTTAATCTATCCTGCAGAACTGGTCGCCGACGCAAACAGAGACGTATTTTGTTTTCTTGCAAATTTTCCCGTCGATCAAATCAACCAGCCATTTAAACTGATTTTTACAGCAGAACTTACACCGACTATTGGCTGTGTGTACATTTCAAGTTATAACTTAAAGCTACGTTAAAACTATATTACTTGGTGCAACCAGTTAAATTCTAGTAGCTCATAAACTCGAATGTAGTGGCAGTTTACACTCAAACTAGGCTGCGATCAAACTTACATTCAGCTGGTCCTTGGTTTTCTACAGCTTCTTATTGATGAGCAGTTTTTTAGCTGTAGTTGTTGTTTAGTGGCACCTTTTTGTTTGTAATGTATTTGTTTTTAAATTATCTTACAGGGTCACTGAAGGATAGGCATATTGAACATGAAAGCAGACTGTACGCCATATTTACACCAAAAGAAAACCTGAGAGATTCTCCTGAATGCCCAAAGCAAAACACCGTCAGAAACGAAGGACCAGTTACTGTCCGCTGCCACATTATGCTCAAGGTAGTGTAGAGTACAACTCTGATTTTGTCCTACCTTAAAAAATGCACCTCTCAAGGAAATGTAGAGCTGTGGGATGAAAAAAATGATCTTACAAGCTTATCGTTGCTGTCACACAGAAACCCTGCGTCTCCATTTATGTTCTTTCTGTCTTTTTTTTACATAATTTGAAAATTTGAGGTACCTTTTGCATTGTGTTAGATTTTCATGATGAACAGACCAATAAAAACCAAAAATATTTAAACACGTTTTAATGTTAACATCCATTATAGCTTCATTTTCTTAGTAAAAGGGTCATTTTTGAGAAAGGCAGGTGAAAACTAATAGCATGAGATTTAGAAACCTTCAGATGAGTTCAAGTTTGAAAAATAACACGTTAAAATGATATGAAATCAACTTTTCCATCCTAAAGAAAGACTTAATGGATAAACAAATTATAACAACAAGCACAGCGAAGCAGCTTTGAGGGCAGTATTGCACATCAGCAAGCAGAGATAATTGCACAGCAGTGTTAGGAGAAAAGCAGAAAAAGAAAATAAGGAATAATCTATCTGTTTCAATCATGTGATCTTTTACTTGTAGCAGCCATTTTAATGACCCAGAAAAGTCAAATAAATTTCACACGTGAAATATAAGTGACGCTTCTAATGATGGAGAATTAAAGGATACAGAATCTGTGATTCTGACTGATTCACATGTAGTTCCCAATAGTTACTGATTTAAAGTTGTAAACATAAATAACTCGCCGGCCCACAGGACGCTGGAGTTCCTTCTCTATGCAGACACGGACACTAATTTCACTGTTAGAGTGGTAAAAATACTTCTGATGACTCCGCACGCTACACTGTCAGAATAAAAGTACTGTACAAGTACATTTTTCATTAATCAAGGTTCAACTAATGTAAATGTCCCATCAAAAGCACACGTCCTTGAATAAATAAGTACTTTGAATTAATGTTACTTTTAAGGATACAAAATAACTGAAAGGTGTGTATGTGTAGTTTATGAAAACCTAATATTTAAAACATAACAAACGTAACATAACAGAAAATAAGGAGACTCTGGCCATGATGTAATAAGCCTTTTGAGTCATTAATACCAAAGGCCTGTTTGTAGCCTGTTTTTATGTTTAATATGTGGACCATGTACAAAATACATTAATCTCAAAAGAGAAGAGATGGTTTGTACCAACAATAGCTAACATGCTATGTAAATACATAATTAAGACTAAAAACACAATATACAATACCAAAGATAAAATAAATAGAATAAAATTCAAAATATCAATTAAATATATATATATCCAACTCACACCCCCAAACTATATCTCCTCCAACCAACTCAAATGCATACAAGACCTTCATCAACCATCGTTTATCAATACAATAGCACAAGAACCTGATTATGTTCATGTGAACATGATTGATTTCTTAAAATACTTTTTTTGGTTCATGAGAAAAAAGTCTTAAGGTCCACACAAGTTTTCTAATCAGTAGGTAGTGCATCCAATTGTTTAATAGCTTTGTATGAAAAAGATTGTGCAGAAGACATAGGAACACAGCATATAGGAATACTGCACTGCCCCCTGGAGGCAGACCATGTGGCCCTGCACTGATTCTCAAAGCAAAGCTGTACAAAGGTCTTCAAACATATGGGTGCAGTATTATGGGTAATCTCATACACCAGGCGGACACTGGAGCACATAACTAGGTGATCAGAATTCAACATATTGTACTGAGAGAGTATTTGACAGTGGATGGCTTGTTTATAATATGATTCAAGTGGTTTCACAGCCAACTTACCTATTATTATATGCATTATTGTATGAGGAATTACACTAAAAGAAATGAGAAAATCATTGTATTTTAAAATGTCTTAGATGCCTCCATTGTGAGTGAGTTTCTAAAATATCTAAAATTTGCTAAGATATATTTTATTGTGTAGCTCATCTTTTTTATGTGTTTCTTGAAACTAAGAGTTGGATCCTGAACAGTACCTAAATATTTAAACTTATCCACATTTTTATATTTAAATTTTCAGAAAAACTCCTCTGTTTTTTGTTTGCTGATGAAACACATATTGGCTGTTTTCTCGACATTCAGAGTTAAACTGGAACCACGTTGCAACTTTACAACTTTATCCACAATTTATGATAAACTAAAACTTGTAGTGCATCCATCCCATGGATATACTGGACTGGATATAGTGTCATCAGCATACATCTGAATCTTCACACCAGGACAAACTGACGGAAGATCATTTAAACATAAACTGAATAAAAGAGGTCCTAGTGTAGAACCCTGTGGAACTCCAATGATGCATGCATTAAATGATGATAAAACAGATAATCTTCACACACTGAGATTGATCAGATAAATAATGTTATCTAGTTTTGTGCATCTATAGAAAGTATATTTTGGAAAAAAAAGTATTTGATTTACTGTGTCAAAGGCCTTATGCAGATCAAGAAAGACTACCCCAACCACCCCTCCTTTATCCAGTGCAGTAGAATCAGTAGAATGATTTTCCTAAATGCAAATTTTTGACTGTGTTTGAAAATCGAGATGTGCTACCTTCTCTAAAGCCTTTGAGACAGCAGGGAGAATATTAACTGGTCTACAGTTGCTTACATCCTATCTCCTGATTTATGAACAGGAGTTAATATTACAAGCTCAACATGTTAGGCAATCTGCTCTCCTAAAGTGAATGATTAAAATGTAAGTCACTGTGTGAGTTCAATTATTTCTACATTTTTTTGAGAAGGAGATTGACGTATGCCATTTAATTTAAGCTGTGCATCCCCACTCTTTACGCATTCTTTCACCATAAGTCTATCAATACTTGTCAATAAATTTACTGTTCCCTTCTGCAGCTTTGATAATTTCAGGGAACAAACTTGATTTAGCCTTCTGTAGTTGACTTGTCACCATATTTCTAAACTCTTAAAAATCAAACAATCTGTAATAAACTAATGTTTCAATGTAGCGCACAAATCTGTGAGTAAATGTGTTCATCTGATAATTTTACAGCATATCAAAAGTTTAAATATGTGTGTTTATATCAGCAGTTTTAAATTTACATATATATTTTTTTTCAACTAGGGGAATCATGACATCAGAGTAGACCTGGAGCAAAATACGTTGGCTGACCTGAGAACGAGACTTTCACTGGAAAGTGGAATACCTGCGCATGTGTTATATCCCAAGTAATTCTTTGTTATCTATGTTCATATTAATGGAATGATATCTAGATATAAATATACAAAACAGTTGGGAGCCTCTTTAGTACTTTGTTACATCACCTCTCCTTCTAAAAGCACTTAATAATCGTTTGGGCAGTGAAGACACAAACGGATCCAGTTTTGAAAGTGGAATTTTTTGCCGTTCTTCTGTTATACAAGTCTTCAGCTTTTGTTGTCATATTTTGCACATCATAATGGTTTTCAGTGTGAGACAGTTCTGGACTGCAGTCTAGTCACCTCCACTCTCTGATTAACAGCCATGCTGCTGTTACACGTGCTGAACATTTCTTGGTGTGTTGTGTTGAAATAAACATGGACGTGCCCAGAGGTGTAAAGAGTACTGAAAATCTCTACTCAAGTACAAGTACTGTTACTGTAGTGATCATTTACTCAAGTACAGGTAAAAGTATTAGTAAATAAAATTACTCCAGAAAGAGTAAATGAGTAGTTCATTAAAAACTACTTAAGTACTGAGTTACTTAGTTACTTTTTCTTATTTCTGCTGTCACAACCTGAACATGTTTCTGAGCTACTTGGCTACATCGCTGGAAATAATCTGTACAGAAAAACACTTAAGCTTAAGTTCTGAGAGCTGAGACTGATCACAGTTCTGCTAGAGCACATCTACACACCTTTCTGTGAACTGAGTGAGGAACAGGGTTTACATTACACTGCATGCATTTCATGGTTAGATGATTATATAAAACTTTGTTTATCTGTTTCCAGTAAAGTATTTTAGAATTGCTGAAAGACTGTCTGGAGGTTGTTACTGTTTAATTAAGTTCATTTAAAAGAAATAAACAGTCAAAATTATGAGTCGATCACACCTAGTGTGCTAATTAATAATGTAATTTTAGTGATTTTAGAATCCTGCTGCCCATCAGCTCCCTGGACTCTAGCTTACGTTAATAGGTGTGAACCTCTACAGACAGTAAACACATTCACAGCCTTCACACTGTATATTTACACTGATATCTGTTCAGAACATTTACACCATTAAAAAGCAGCAACAGCAGCTTTGATTTTACTGTAATATATTTCACTAGAAATCATGGAAATCATGATCACTTACAGTTAAACAGCTACACAGACTCTCACAGTTAAAGATAAACACCAAGGCAGAGAGAAGGAGTAAGAGACAGAGAGAGAGAGATACTGAGAGAGAGAGAGAGAGAGAGAGAGAGAGAGAGAGAGAGAGAGAGAGAGAGAGAGAGAGAGAGAGAGAGAGAGAGAGGAAGAAAGAGACTTTTTTTGACTTTTGACTCACCTGACTTTTATTGAACCAGCACTTTCTTTAAAACAGTCATCCGTCACAAAGTGTCATCTTAGGCTATATTGAAATAAATTAACTGATTAAATAAAATAAGACAAACACTTTATAAATAGATAAAAACAAGAAAACAAAAAACCAGTCCAGCTCATCTGAGCTCAGGAGCGAAGCAGAGCTCATCCTCGCACACTGAGCACACGGCCCCACCACAGCACCACATCGCCTCAAAGGCCTCCACATCACACACGCTCTTATAATAATTAAACTCAATTAAAATCCTTGATCTGACCAGCCTAGAGAGAATCCTTGTGGCCTCGCAGTCAGTACCATGCGCCACCTTGTTCTTACGACTGATGTATATTGCCATTTTCACCGTCCCAAGAATGAAGTTGATCAGTTGGCATTTGGATCTCTCTCTTCTGACGTATTTAAAACCAAGGATAAAAGTCTGGAGTGTAAAAGTCACATTAAGAGACCTAATAACAGTCTTTAAAACTTCAAACAAAGAGCAAAGCCTAAAACAGTCCATAAAAGCATGAAACACAGTTTCTCTCTGGGGACAAAAAGGACACTGTGGTAAAATCTCAGGATTTAAAACAGAAATAAAAGCGTTGACTGAGACAATACCGTGTAAAATCCTCCACTGCAGATCAGCTACTTTTTTAGTCAATGGTGGTTTATACAGCGCTCTCCACTCTGGCTTCATATCATCACTCAGATTAAAAACATCACGCCATGGTGTGTCGGTTCTACTGTGCAGTCTTTTCTTATTCAGTACCTTCACACAGGCTCTGTACAGCAGCTTACCAGACACTGTCCCCATGTTCATTCTAGACTCCCCCTCACACTCCAGAAGGGGGCCTTCACAGTCCTGTAGGTCTGGCGTGATAGTGATGTCCGGGAATGGGTCATGCTCCGTAGGGCTGACCACCCCTGCACTGTAGGCCCTCACCTGCTCGCGTTCCTCAGGAGAGAGAGCTGTCCTCCATCCCTCGAGCAGCTGAGCCACAACTCGCAGAGATCTCATCCCCAGCCTCGCAGCCACGTCCTCCACCCGAGTGAGATCTTGTCTGGCGACGTCCATGAGCCGGCGGAGGGTTGTGACTCCCGATGTCAACAAGACTCTGGTCAGTGCAGGGGTGATCGTGCCCTCCAAGTCCAGTCGTGTGCCGTTGAAAAGAGGCTCCTCCACCAGCCAGTGCAAAGTGGAGCCAGCCTGTTTATTCACATTAAAAAAGTCCCAGATTTTAAAAAGTCCTCGATAAAAAACAGGCAACCCAGCAATGTCCAGTGTTTTGGTGCTCATTAAAAACAATGCTCTGTCCAACCCCAGACCACCTACTGTGTGTAATATTGTGCAAGATACCGCCCTCCAAACCAGCTCACTGGGACCAGCAAGAAGTCTCTGGATGAACTGGAGTCGGAAAGCAGCGGCCCTGCTAGCCAAGTGGACGAGTCCTTGCCCCCCTTCCTCTTTTGGCAGATGTAGAACTCCCCGCGGAATCCAGTGCAGTCGATCCCAGAAGAAGTCCACTAGCACGGCTTGCCGGTTCGCCAGCAGATTCGGTGGGGGGTCCACACAGGCCAGTTTATGCCAGAGCGATGATGCAGCCAGGTTGTTGATAACAAGCACCCTTCCCCGATAGGACATCTGGGGGACTAACCATTTCCACTTACTGATGCATCCTTTAATCTTTTCAACCATGCCATCCCAGTTCTGTGCACTACACATACTGTTCCCCAGATACACCCCCAGATATTTAAAACCACCCCTTCTCCACATCAACCCATCTGGAAGAACTGCTTCACTTTTGGTCCAGTTTACTTTTGCAGATGATAAAACCCTAAAATCATTTAAAATTCCAGCTAAAACATCCACATCAGTCTGGGTACTTGCTATCACAACAAGGTCGTCTGCATACGCTGAGACACACAGTGGAGTAGAACAGCGAGAGAGACAAACCAGAGATGCAGTCTCTCAGTTTGCACAACAGAGGTTCAATAGCTAGAGAGTACAGCATGCCAGACAGAGCACAGCCCTGCCTAATACCTCTGTGCACTTTAAAAGGAGCACATAAACCACCATTAACTTTGAGTACACTCTCAATGTCACTGTACAAAACCTTGATCATGGCTATAAAACCTGGGTTGAAACCAAAGTTCTCCAGAACTTTCCACAGATAGCAATGTTCAACCCAGTCAAATGCCTTTTCCTGATCCAAAAAAATGAGACCAGTCTTTAAGCCCAATAGTCTGGAGACTTCCAAAACATCACAAATTAGATATACATTGTCAAAAATTGACCTTCTAGGCACACAGTACGTCTGGTCAAGGTGAACCACCTGCTCCATCACCTTCCCCAGTCTCGAGGCTAACGTTTTTGAGAGCAGCTTACAGTCAGTGCACAACAGAGAGACAGGGCGCCAGTTCTTCAGTGCAGCTAGGTCCCCCTTCTTGGGTAGCAGGGTTAGAACAGCCCTCCGACAGCTCAGCGGAAGCTTCCCTTCCCTTATGCTGTTCTGGAGAACATCCAGTACATCCTGCCCCAACACTGACCAAAACACTTTATAAAATTCAACAGGGAGACCGTCAATACCTGGCGCCCGACCATTCTCCATGCCCTGGAGAGCCTCATACAGCTCCCCCAGAGAGATATCTGCATCCAGCACTGCAGCAGACTCTCGCGTGAGCTGGCTGAGGTCACGGAAGAATCCCTCCTCCACCTCTCGTGCCTCTGCCCACTCGCTCTCGTACAGCTTTGAGAAAAAGCTGATTGTCTGCTGGTGAATTTCAGAAGGCTCAGATAAGAGATCCCCTGATTCTGTATGCACAACATGCATAAACCTTTTCTGTCCATTTCTGCGCTCAAGACCAAAGAAGAACTTTGAAGGAGCATCCATTTCCGACACGCACTGGAAACGTGAGCGGACCAGCGCCCCCTGTGCTGTTATGCCTAAAAGGTCAGCCAATGCATTCTTTTTAGTTTTCAGAGCTTCAATATGCCCCCGATTTCCTGTGGCCTCTGCTAAACCCTGGAGCGCCACTATTTCAGTCTCCAGAGCTTTGAGAGATCTGGCTATGTCCCTTGTGACATTGAGAGTGTACTGCTGACAGAATACTTTAATTTGTATTTTAGCTATGTCCCACCACTGCTGCAGGGAGCTAAAAGTCGTTTTCATTGAGCTAAAAACATCCCAAAAAAAAGTAAAAGACTCTCTAAAATTGGCATCCTCTAAAAGCGCAGTGTTAAAATGCCAGTATGCACTCTGTGGCTTAACGTTACATTTCCTTACTGTGCACTGGACCATACAATGATCTGAAAAACCAACTGGGGAGATAAGACAGCGTGTAAAAGCAGAAAGTTGATACCTAAAACCATAAAATCGATCCAGCCTTGCCAATGAGAGTGTGTTATCTCTTGAATGTGCCCAGGTATACTCTCTCTGCCCTCCATGGAAGTTCCTCCAGACATCACACAGGTCATGGGCCTCCAGCAACGCACACAATCTCTTACGGGACACAGCATGAGGTTCTATATGGTTCCTGTCCATGCTGTCTGCTGTACAGTTAAAATCCCCGCCCAGTATTAAAAACTCATCAGAACCACAACCTGCAATTACGGTGTCCAGAGTGTCCAAAAAGGACATCCTGTCCAACCCCCCAGTTGGGGCATGAACACAAATAAAAACAAAAA